AAGCAATTTAACTCGTGTAACATATAAACTAGCAATGCAGAATTTACTAGGCTGCAAAATGTATGATGACACCCTTGATGATGTGTCCTTGGACTCAAAACATACGGGGTTTTCTTATAATATATATTCTGCAGGTTGCAGTGATAATTATTGAACTGAAGCTTTGCTAAACATACTTTTAGTGTAAAGGCACTTTTTTTTTCAGATTCTGAGGATCTGTTAAATTTGTAAAGACTGAATAAATGGCTATCCTTCCCAAAATGCTTTCTATGCGGTTTTACGAATCTCACTGAGCGTGATGGTAGTGTGATACTGTGACGCATATGTCCATTGCTAGGCAACAGCTCTAGAAACACATTCCCAAAGCATACGCGCTCAACAACAGAAATACATCCATTGCTAGGTAACGGACCAAGAAACGCGCATTCTTGACAACGGATCTTTTCAGTGGGATCCTTTCCAAGGAGTTATATGAGGTCACAGCCAGAAGACGGAACGGAGTACAACGGAGTAGTGGAGTGTAGTCAGAAATCGACATTGTCCAGTTGAATAAGATGACAGTGTGTCAGATAGTGATTTGTGAACTGTTGTAACCAGTTGTATAGAGGTCCAATAAATTCGATCATCAAATATAAAACCCGTCTTATTAGTTGCGCAAACCCCGGATAAGTGACAATACATTTATGACCATTGACGTATTGCTACAATGGCAAATAATCAGACACGATTTTCCCTTGTGTTTAATAACATAATCGCAAATTAAAATGTTTCAAGCGAAACCCGTAAATCATGATAAGATCTGTATTTTACGTAACATAATATTGTGACGTGTATACCCATTGATAGGTAACGGGTTGGCAAACACATTCTCGCAACACAAGAGCTCAACAATATAAGGGCAATTATTGCTAGGTAAGGGACCAGTAAACACACATTCTTGATACCGGAAGATGCCGTTTTCCGTGGGGTCCATGCAAAGTGGTTATAAGAAAGGTTCGGCAGGACAGAAGAAGTAAAGGGCGAAAGATTCATGCGTATTGAAGGGAAAATTTTGAGCGCTTTTTAACGTTTTTCTCGCCTCTATGCCTGCGCCATCCTAGTGGCCTCTTTCATTCTGGGTTTCCTACAACTTTGTCCGCACTTCTCTCCCATGCGTGCTACATGTCCTGCCCATCTCATCCTTCGTGATTTGATCATTCTACGCATAGGCTCAAATAGGTAGAGCATTAATTAAGAAGTTTCTCATTACGCAATTTTCTCCAGCCTCCCATTGCTTCCTTCCTCTGATATCCACATTTTCTCCTCAGGGCCCTGCTCTCAGACTCAGTCTGTTTTCCTCTTAATGTGAGGGACTAAGTTTCGAACCCATACTAAACTGCAGGCAAAAGGCGGCATGTTAACATAAGTGAGCTAAGGTAAAATACAATTCTTTCGACAAACATACTCTCAAATAAAAAGTTGGAGAAAGTTTCATACTCATACAACATAAGATACCTACGAAATTTACCACCTTCCCGAATTTAATAAGGGTACATTCAATTATTCATTGGTGCACGCTGTAAAGTAATTAGTTGAGGCACAAACCGGAAGGTCGCGGTTTGAGTCCTGGTGAGGTGGATTTTTTTCAATTGACCTAATCCTTCCAGCCGCACTATGGCCCGGGGGTCGATTCAGCCTCTAACAGAAATGAGTACCAGGAATTTTCCTGGGGGTAAAGGGCAGCCGGCGAGTAAGGCTGACAACCTCACCGTCATCTGTGAGCCGATTATCTAGAAAATGTGGGAGCCTCTATGTCTCACAATCCTACTGGCCTCCACGGCCTGTTACAGAGATAGCTTTACCTTTTTGCTGCACCTCTCACCTCACTCAGAATAATAATGAAAACGTAGTATGTAATCACAAATGTATGGTAGTCTGAAAGTCATAGCGTAAAATCAATGTGATTCTCTGGCCGAGATTTACCACCACTCCCCCATATGTATTCATGACGTTGTACTTAATTATGAGCTGGGGCAAATTTACCTGTCATCTGCCAGTATAAACGTTGCTAAGTTAAAAATGGTATCAATATAAGAAATTCATTTAACATTTTTCCGTATACTGCATGTTCCATCTAATGCAGCCAAATTTCAATACTTAAAACATTACATTACCTTACTGTTTCGGCGTAGCTTGGTAATCTTCGAGAGGAAATTACCTTACACAATATATTTTAGCGTTCTTGAGTTTAAGGTAAAAGTTAAATTTATTCCTCTACTTAATTAAGCATCTTGCCATTAAGACTTATGAGGGAGTGGAATTATAGCTCCAACATTCTTGACCTCGGCATTAGAAGGAGGTGAGTGATCAGCTTCACGGTGTGTCCGCTTTACCACCGCAGAAAGGAGCCTCCGCTACCCATTAGACAGGATGCTGGGTGAGCCCCAGAGACGGTCTGGATGTTGTGGCGAAGAGAAAAAATTTTAGAAGTTTTTTATTTGGTCTTATACACTGGAAAAATAATAGGGCAAAGTTATCACTGTGCTTAATTATTAATCACCACGTCATTAAGACGAATAGGGAGTTGAGGTATAGCTCTACCATTCTTGACCTCGGCACTAGATGGAGGTGAGCGGTCGGCTTCACGCCCCGGCCGCAGTAAAACAGTAAAAAAGCAGTATCAAATATAGTAAATGAGTAAAATTGTTATTAGCAAAATATTAGATGTTGGTATATGGTATTGTACATATAGATTATGCAGTGTATCGGTGACTAATATCTACAATTACATTTTGAAATTCACTAATTCCGATATCATGACAGGTTATGTCTCGGCCAGGATTCGATCTTGTTTCCTCTTGATGCAAGTCGATGATTTTCCTGTATTTATTCCAATCCCTTCGAACAAACAATAGAACAGGCCACGACTGTACTGCACATCCATCACATTCGCCATATGCAACTATCGCTCCATGACTCATTTGACTGTCTATAATCTCAGCACTGATTCAACATTGTAAAATTATCAAATGAATACGCGATCGTATACCAGTCAGGCATTACCGCTGCTCCAGCCTGACCAGTATAATCCACTATTCACATCGCGCATACCAAACTTTGTAGTGCAGTAAGGACAACATATTAACTCTTGTTGTGACTGTATTAAATGCTATTTTCCGCTGTTTAGAATATAGGTCTCCAGTGCCTCATGTTTTTGGGAGACTGTGCATAAAGAAGTGAAAGGGAACTGAGTCCTTGTGAAGCCGCCAGTCGCTCAACTTCTCAAGAATTTCCCAAAATTTATGGAACACGAAAGTTTACCTTGTTCATAAGAGTCCACCATTAGTCCCTATCCTGAGACAAATTAATTGGTCCATATCATCCCATCCTATTTTAATATTTTAATATTATCCTCCCATCTACGTCTAGGTCTTTATAGTGGTCTATTTCCTTCTAGCTTTCCCATCAAAATCCCATATGCATTCCTTTTGAATTGGAATGGATGTGGAACAAAATAAGACACTAGAAAATGTCAAAAATAATAGTTAGGTTTATTTTAATAGACCATCGTTAGAAATATTTAGACTTAGCGTTTGTACTCTTCTCCAAGTATAATTAGAATGATCAAGTCAAGGAGGATGAGGCGGGTAGGGCATGTAGCACAAATGTGGGAGAAGAGGAATGCATATAGGATATTGGCGGGAAAGCCAGAAGGAAAGAGACTACTGGGAAGACCAGGGAGTAGGTGGTGGACAATATTAATCTGGATCTTAGAGAGATGGGATGGTATGGATTGGATTGATCTGGTTCAGGATAGAGACCAGTGGAGGGCTATTGTGAACACGGTAATGAACCTTCGGGGTCCATAAAATGCTGCGAAATTCTTGAGTAGCTGCAGATTTGGCTTCTCCTCAAGAAGGGCTCAGCTCCATAAGTAAGTAGCTCACTATTTGCCTCGAATAACGGGAGAGCCACGAGAAACATGGAAACTCCGGAACATAGCAGGTATAAGAATATGCCATGGCGTTACCATTCCTGTTTCATGTGCTGTTTAAATCTTCATCGAAATCGTATATCCTAAATGTTCTCGTAATTGCTACCACGCACTCAATCGAAAAGGCAACTTTGATATACAGCGAGGCTAATTTCTCTCCCATGGCCACCAAACAGCAATAGCAATGCGTTTGAGATACCTGGTTCAGATACTGGATGGGAAAGTGTCTATTCTGGCTAAGTAGTCCGTGGTCTTCTTCAGTCACTTCAGGCCGGAATAACATCTTAGCACAGTCTCGGGCTAGATTCTCTACCTGAAAGAGGTCTAGGCCTGTGATCATTCAGCTCTTTCATAATTTTATTTCAGTCTCTGCATGCAAGTTTGCGGCAGTAATTAAGGTAAACCTACACCGCTTCTTTCTGAGTTCTTCCAAATCCATCGTAATCACTCTTGTCACTCGACTTTGTACTATATTCTCAACAGTAAGTACGCGTCGTTAAGTACACTACACACTATTTACCAACGTCAACATGAGAGTTGTTATGTAAACTGCAAAGAATTGAATCAGATTTATAGCAGTTTGCCATTCTAATGCGTAGGTAAACAAGTCTGGAAATTCTTAAAATAACCTGCAAGGCAACAGTGCTTACCCTAAAGGTATAAAGTTTTCCCAGTGCTTAATTAAGCATCATGGCTTGAAGACGTATGTGGGAAAATGTTACACAATTACAGACTTTTAATCTAAAATCTGACCATTCTAGACAACATATCCTTTTGATCCATGCCTGGCCTGCAAACTCTGGTTCTTTGAAAGTAAAGTACAGCACTCTTCAGCAAACTTCAGGTCAGTAAACTATGCTTTTGCTACTCCGGATGCAGCTGGTTCAATGCAGTTTGCGTTGCTGTACAAATTGTCCCATTCTTTTGGCTACTGAAAATCAAACGTTGTTCAGATTTACGGAGTCTGAACCAGGAAAATGTTACTATAATACATAAATTTAAAAAAAAGATAATAGTTGACCATTACCTTCCATACCTGAAGAAAACTTGGGGACGATCTGATGTTCCACTGTGTTCAAACACCACACACTTTTACAGCACTCAAAGGTAGACGTTAAGGCTGCTTGTAGGTATAAAATCACTTACAAAACGATATGTAAAACACATCACTTCAGCTAACATCATTGCAAAGAAAGTATAGACAAAAATTTACATTCACACGACACGAGTTTTCTGTCAACTGGTGGTATAACACAAACGACAGCCAGTCTTCTCCCTCCCCAACCCCTCGAGTACACCCTTAAAGCCAAATGCTTCTCCACCAATCGCTTATTGAGAAATCGACTTACAAAGTACATCATCGTTGCTCTTGTGATTATCTTTGCAGGATGGATACGAGGTCTGGCCTTCCCGCAAGTACTACGGTGCCATACACTGCGCGTCGGACGAGGCAATGTTTATCGTAGATCATATACCTGTATCAAACATGAACTGACACTCAGTATTTCGTAAGATGGTGCGATGGTCTTGACGGTCACTCGTTTATTACTTCGACATACGGAAGAACACATCGTATAGATGATTTATTATCGACCTATCACCTTTCGGCTGTCACCTAATTGTGGTGCTATTCCGAAATTTCCCTGCGGGGACTAGGGAAACAACGAAACTCCTCGGCATATCCATGGATGAGGCTGAAATTCGAAGCGAGCACCTCTCGAAGACAAATCTAAAGCGGTACGCTTATATCAACTTGATGGCTTTTGTTCTCAAAGTTACTGCTAATTATTAAAATCATTATACCCACGAATGAAATTAAGGGTCTTTTGACTTTTAACGTCGGTAATGTCACAAGACTTAGCCATTCAGCAAGGTGCGTCACAGCTGAAAAAAACATCTCCAGATCTCCGGACGTTATCAATTAACATATTGTACCCCTAGAGGATACATTCCCTTTGTTTAATCATATTAAATTCATGGTTCCAGTTACGTCACTAACATTGTTTTAATACCTAGTACTTAATTTTCTGTGCAGCTTATAATCTGGTTTTAGTCATGTATACATTAGTGCTCGCTGTTATAGGCCATTCGCTGTTGGCAAGCGCTTAAATAAAGGAACTGAACTGAATTAGTATTAATTTTAAACTATAAATGGATTCATTGTCCGACACGGGTTCTACCAAACACCTTATAATAAATGTAAGATTTGAGGTTTTCACGGAGGTGACTATGAAGAAAGCAGACTTCTGGGATGCGGCGACGTGTAGATATTGTGTTAACCGACGGAGGCGATACGTTTCTCCGAAACGTCGCTTAACACAATATCTATACGGCGCCGCATCCCAGAAGTCTGCTTTCTTCACCTTATAATAAACATTTACAAATTCCACTATCATCACCCTCGTCCAGTCATAAAGTCAGGTTACTGGTTTGGTCTGCAAGGGGGTGCCCAAATTGTCTTCCTGTTGTGTGGCATTTTGGAATTCGTTTTAGGATTCTGTGCTTCTCCATTCGGCGAACGCGTCAAAGCCAGTTCTATCTGAATAAAGATTTTCTCTCGAGGAACTATCTGAGAGCTTTTAGAAATTGTTTCATTTTTGGTGAAGAGCGTATCCTGCTGTTTATAATAAAAAAGATGCATCTCCGAAGTCCACAGTCTGTTTTCATCTCGTTCAAATTTCATTGTCTTAGAAGAGGGTCGAAAGAGCCAATCCTTTGTATGATTTTAAACTTAATGTTTTTCGAAAGAAATATTGGTTAGCAATGTTGTTTGCATGCCCCAGTATTTGTTAAAATCTCGTAATTTTATGTTCAATGTCATTGTTTCCTTGATGGCAAGTGACAGCGTTTACTTGCTCTAATACTGTCTTATGTTTTAATTTTTAATCATTTGGGTTAAACATCCGCATACTATACAGAGTATAGTAATGTAATGACCGTCGAAAATTCATCGATAAGTTTCCGAATTTCTTATATAAAATTTTGTACTATTATTTCCTTCCTTCCCCCTACGCAATCTTTTGCAATACCTCTTATTTGTACGTTTTATTGTCATTACTCTCTTCCTTCCTTCCTCATTCTCCTTTACGTTAAAACAGTATAGGTAAATGTCGTTCAAAACATTCCTTGATACCCTGTTCACTTCCAGTCATACCGCTTTTATAGGGACCAAAATACAGTAAAATAGTTGATCCATCCAGCTTTGCTTGGGTGCGGTGCACACTTAAAAAATATATATATATATAGTGACGTTGACCTTCATGATACAATATTAACATAAGTATTACGATTGAAAGGAGGTTGACTAATCAATCCATTCCAATACAAATCCTAGCTTTTCTGAATATTTTAAAAACCAATGTTAGAGTCAATTTTACCGACCACACAACATATTTTTATTATTATTACACTACATGTTTCGACCTCAAGAGGTCATCCTCAGGTGTACGAACACAGCTGCATAATTACACGCAATGACATTCGTCTTTTCACTTATTCGATCCTGTATCTTATTCTTAATTAAATACACACCAGGATGCAAGAAACAATTAAAATTGTAAAAGCCGCCTTTCCTCTTTTGTAGAATTAAAAATTAAATACCTCAAAAACTATAACATATATAGAATAAGCGAGCCGCCTTTGTTGTTGTTTCATTAAGCCGTATCGAAAGCAAAAAAACACCAATACGCTAGGACGAATGGTTCTCGAGGTATAGGCAAAAACTGTTTTGGTGGGTTATAAAATTTTGGGGGGATTTGGCTGTCTAGAACCTCTCAGGGAGGCCCTCTACCACCCTGTAAATTCAGTCTAAATTGGTGCAACGTTGTGGGAATGTATAAAGAACAAACAGGCACATTCTTCTTCGAGGTTATAAGAGCTGCTCTGTTAGGTTCTTTACCTTCTTTACTCTTCCATTTCGTCTTAACAGAGAGAGAATTCTGGCAGACCCATCTACCGGCAAAATTAGTACAGCACTACTGCAATCAATGTGTGTAGCGCACTATCGGGGCACCGTAAAAAATAAAGCTATCCTTGTAACAGGCCGTGAGGGCCCAGATGGTTGTGAGATGTTGATGGTCCCACATTGTCTAGACAATCGGCTCAAAGATGGCGGTAAGGTTGTCATCCTTACGCGCCGGCCGCGCTTTACTCCCCAGGAAAATTATTGAATTAATTCCTGGTACTCATTTCTGTTAGAGGCTGAGTCGACCCCAGGGCCATAGTGCGGCCGAAAGGATTAGGTCAATTGAAAAAAATACAATGACCTCATCGGGGCTTAAACTCGCGACCTTCCGGCTTGTAGCATAGTGATAATTCCTTTCAACAATTCAGTTTAATTGTATAAGGGGTTAACTAACTGTAACCTATATGTATAATGGTCATTTTCTTCGTTATAATGTAATGTAATAATTCGGATGCTTTTATAATATCTAGTAAGTATACGTATACGTGTATTATCGGCTCACACGAAGTAGTTACTTCTAGATGTCTGATGCTACGGAAATCCAGTAAAGGGCCATAATTACATAGAGGCTGCTTAATATTAGTGCCATATTTACGTATTCAACATAGACATGCAGGGAATGGACAAATTAATAGACATTGTATTGTATTGTATTGGAGAGGGTGGGTTTTCCCCATGCACTTAGACCAACTGTTGGTCCATTGTGCGTCCCCCTATGATATTCTACCAGTCTCTATTCCCTACCGGTACTGGTGCGTGCCATCAGTCCCGACTCAGCCAGTGAGTTCGGCCTCTACTGGCTCAGCGGTATCTCGATGCTTCCCCCATCTACCAGAAGCGTTAGAGACTACTGTTGGGCAGGAAATGTCCTGAATTTGGTTCAGTGGTCCCCTTGGGACACGTGGTTCTTTTACGTGCCGTAAAGCTACGACAAGGGACCCACGGCTTAAAGTCCCTCCCGGAGGACTTCTTCCCTGAATTTTTCCGCCCTTAAAAATTCCACGACCTCCGCCGGGTTTGAACCCGCGTACCTTGGGTCACGAGGTGGGAACGTTACCCTAGACTACGGAGGCCGCTAATTAATAGACATACTACAGATAGTGCACACATTTCTTTATCAATATGGTGTTGGACCACCTTTTACCTTCTGTACAGCTGCGGTCCTTCTTGAAATGGACTCGTAGAAGTTTTGAACAGTCTCCAGCAGAATTTCATACCATTTTTCTTGAAGAACATCTTCAAGTCGCTTTAGAGATGTTGGAAGTGGGAATCTGTTCCTAACTGAAGTCTCAAAAATGACGAAAGTGGTACAGTGATGTTCAGCTCTAGTGATTGTGCTGGCCAGGAAAGATGTTGAAGTTCACCTTCACGCTCTTCAAACCACGACTGCACAGTTTCAGCTATGTGAATGGGGGCACTGTCGTCTTGGAAAAGTGCATCGTTGTTCGGAAGTAATGTCTGTATTATGGGATGCACCTGATTACCCAATCTGTCCACGTACTCCATTGCAGTAATTCGGCCATGAATAGTAATAATTCGACCAACAGAATACTGTACCACTATACTGCTATCCAAACCAGCACAAAACTCCGTGTTTCACTGTTGAAACCGAACCAGGCATTCCAAGTTGTAGGCTTCCTTGGGTGTTCTCCAAACGTAAATTCTTCTTCACGCAGGAACAGCATGAAGGATGACCCAACCGATAATATCACTTGCGCGTTTTCAGTTGTCTGATGTCCAGGTTTCATTGTTGTGACATCATCGTTTATGCATCTGAGCATTGTCTTCCCATGATTCGTGTATCCTGACATAACCTTAGAAATCGTTGCTGTCAATACAAATCATAGATGATCCTGATAAACGTGCACCAACGAACTGTCCTCTTTCATAATTGTACAAATATCCCATTTTCCAATTCTTTCACACAGACTGTCATCCAATACAATCACACTGATACCACGAATACAGAGTGTAAACAAATGGATGAAGTTTCAGTGTCGCCAACTGAAGTTCTTTTTTTTTTTTTAATTCGCTTAGTGGGGGGAGTCCAGCTGGGTCCACTCGGCACGCACCTATGTAGCCCACAAATTCTATTCCTCAATCTGCATTTGCATTTTGTACACTCCCTGTATCTGTACCTATATAGACCCATACGGGTGGGGGTGGGGGCAGGGTCATTTGGTCCAGGCCCCTAGTCTAAGGGAACACCAAATATATTCTTATTCAATTTTAAAAATTATAATAAGCAGGAATGTTGGAATTCCATTTAACAGAATTTTGAATTCTTTACATTTTGGTGATATTCATTTGCAATTTCAAAATTTCAAATTTTGAATTTGGATATTTCACTGTCATTGTCAAATAAATGTAAATTATAAAACTGTGTAAACCTTATATACCACATAACTGAACACTTTTTAATGACATAAAATCTTTTTAGAATATTTATTAAATATATTTATTGGAATGGGGTGGTCCCACTTTTGTGACTGGCCTGGACTCCATCTAACTTTTTCTGGCCATGTATGTATATACCAACTTTTGTTACTTTAGTCATACATTTTTTTTTCCTTTTTATAAGTGTTGTGCTGGGATTTTCACTAATGTTTTTTTTAGTAAACTAATGTATGCTCTGCAGGATTTGAGGCTATCACAGCAGTGATGATGAAAAGTCATACCTTCTGGGATACAGTGCCATGTACTAGCAGAGGCTCTAATTGTTACCTGCTTCATGCTGGTCTTTTGCTCGGCTCATTCTTCAGCCCTGACGACGTTGTAAGATGTTCCTCCAAAACGACTTTCAGTAAATTACACTGTGTTACATTACAGAGGACCGGGTTCTTAACATATGCTCATTTTCCAATATATAAATAATGGTAAACATTTATAATGCAGAACATGTCTTCCTGCAGTTTGTATTTCATTCGTGACTAAAGGTGAACCTGCTTGTCTACATTTTGTCTTCTTGTGTATCCCATGGCTGCTACCGTGGACTGTCCCACTGTAATGTGGTCCATTGCTCTTGGATATCATGTGTACCTACATTATGTGTCTGGATGTTGGTTATGTGACAATATTTTTTTGTAATTTCTGGAACTGTTTTTTCAGACCCAGTCATTCTGAATAGAATTCATAATGGATTTCATAAAGTTCACTGATATAAGAATTTTATGGTTTGCGAGGGTTACAACAGGACCTATATCATCCTCCCTCCCTCCCACAATGCAAATGCAAATCACTGCCCCCTATGTCTTTCCATACTTCTCTTCATGTACAATCTAGAGGCTAGGTCTAAAAACAGCCTGTACTTTTTACTTTACTCTATGGCAAGGATGTGCTTTTCACCAGATATTACAATAAAATAAGGAAACTTCAGAATATAAAACTGGATCAAAAAGTTCCAAGAAATGATTCTATTAAATATCACGGCAGACAATACACCCGTCTGAATGCTTTTGTCTCCAAAACTATGTAACAGATTTTGGTTACGCTGTATATTTATAATTTATGCAGTCATGTGACTTTTAGTGTGGCCATCATTAGTTCGCTTTACATGAAGTTCAAGTCATGTCTAAAGTGACCCTTGTATAAAACAGGAAGTTACACAGTCTTAATGCTCAACAATTATATGGAGGCACTAGGAGTAATTACACTTTCTAGTGATCTAAATCAAACTCATGCCCTTTTGGAAAATTTGCTGTGTAGTTTGGTAGATAGGTAACATTTCAGTGGAATGTGCTATCAAACTGCATGACATCATATCCCATAAGACTGTAATGTTGACATTCACCACTGTGACAGCCTCAATCTCACATGCACTATGGTTTGTTTCCCCCCATAATAAGTTTTACAGTTCTGTACGCAGCTGAAATGGTTCATTAACTACTACTAGAAAATGGAAAACTAAATAAAATTTTAAATTGTATACAAAATGCCCTTAACAAAAATTCTATATATACTGTCACAAGTAAAGAGGGTACGCGTGATGAAATGACGGGTTCTAGTTCGGATATTCGCATTTATTAACAGCTTGGTTACACGCACTCTCAATTACTCAGATACACAGCGCTATCACTGATTTACATACACCAGATCTTCTAATCCACTACTGCATGTACCGTCGCACATATGAAGTCTTCTAAATCACGCTTGGCCTTCTTGGTTCTATTACACCTGCTTCTGTCACTCTCAACTGTTCAATACCTGTAACTGCCTCAAAACTACATCAACAAAGTCAAAGTCACATTGCAACTGTCCAGTCAGTCAGTAAGTCTTGGTGTCGGGCACCCTCCTGGGGCTCATGACCAGATACTTATTACTGTTTGATAGTTATGGTCTTATTTTTGTGGGACGCCCTCTCTGACAAGAGGACAGGTCTGCCCTTTGTATATGCTGCTGGCCCTTGCCAGCGCAGTTTTTCTCGGGTCCGAGTCCCTTGGGACTCACCACATTTTACTGTCTCAAATTTGAGACTTCCCTTTTCGTCGCCTCCTATGACTCGCAGGGTCACAGTGGAGTATCTGGCCCTGCCTCCACACGGGGGTACATCAACACTGACGAGTACTCTCATTATGTAGCTTCTGCCCTAACTACATAGAAAATGTGTTTACTGATTGCCTAGCAACAGTCACTGCACAGACTCTCCTGTTGTGTGACGTCACAGCCTAGCAGGGAGGAGTGTTTACCGAGCGTTGTTACACAATGAACACTCCTTGCTATGGATATTCCTATGCAACGGTCTCAACAACTTCCATTGTTTCGTTGCTCAGCGATGGACAATAGATAACACATTAAAATACGTAGGTCGTACTGAAGTCATGAACAACAATTTTTTGTAAAGTAACATGCTTTATTATTGACAAACCAAACACACCACCACAATCTACAGACCTTTCTTTATTTTTCCACATAATTGCCACTTCTTTGTACACATTTCTCCCAACATTCTGGAAGTTTGAAAATTCCCTTTCTGCAAAATTCCATTCCAGCTCACTGTCCTGCTTATAACAACTTGACACAGACCACACAGAAAACATCATTCCTTTGTTGCTGTGCCATTGTTGTTCTCATTATTGCTGCATCCCACTACTGCTGTGGAAACACGCTTGATTGCAGAGCCATTACTTAGCAATGGCTGTTGCATATTTGCTTATTCCATGGTCACTGCCTAGCAACAGGTCTACAAGCCACAATACTCTGTAAACATATATTTTTTCTTTTATGCCAGGAATAGCCATTTTAAAAGAAGTTTAAGTGATTACACAAAATATAAATTAAATGCATATGAGCTATATATACCAGCTAGTACAAAAGAATTAGTTCAAAAAGTTGTACAAATGAATGGCTCTACAGATATGAATGAAACTCGTATAAATTGCAAGAACATACCTTACTGTGTATATTCACTTATTCAGTTCAGCAGTCATTACAGGAATGATAAAACTTGGCATTTTCACAATCACATAACCCACACATTTGAAAGTGTTCATGCTGTAATCCAAGAAAACTGGGGTCCTATTCAACATCAATTACCATACAAAAAACACACACATGAAATGTGAATTTTTAACATTAAAAATGGATAGTATTTTCTGTGTAATAAATCAACCAAATAAATTAATATTGTATTAAGCATCATGTTGCATCAATATATCATTTACTTCATAATACAGTGACAACCAACCCCAGTCACAATAAAGATAGACCAAAAACAACTGGAGAATGTGAAATGTTTTAAATATTTGGGTAGCTTGTTAACAGATGATGGAAGGTGTACGTGTGAAATTAAATCTAGGATTGCCATGGCAAAAGATGCATTTAGCAAGAAGAAGAAGAATCTTTTTACCAGCAAATTGGACTTAAATTTGAGAAAGAAACTAGAGAAATGCTACATTTGAAGCATAGCTCTGTATGGGGCTGAAACTTGGACACTTATGGCAATAGATCAGAAACACCTGGAAAGCTTCGAAATGTGGTGTTGGAGAAGGATGGAGAAGATCAGTTGGACCGATTATGTGAGAAATGAAGAAGTGTTAATTAGAGTCAGTGAGCAGAGGAATATCCTACACGAAATAAGAAAATGGAAGGCTAATTGGATTGGTCATATCTTACGCAGTAACTACCATCTAAAAGAAGTTATTGAAGGAAAGATAGATGGGCGGATAGACGTGACCAGAAGACGAGGAAGAAGACGTAAGAAGATGCTGGATGACCTTGAGGAGGATATTTTCATTTGAAGGAGAAAGCTCTAGATCGCATCAAGTGGAGGAACTGTTTTGGAAGAGACTGTGGACCTGTCGTCTTGACAGATTACAGATGAATGAATATCACCAATGCAACTAATTACAGTCACATTACTTCTTTGTTTACATGTTTCGGCCATACATGGTCATTATCAGGTGTCTACCTTTTTTCTTCTTTTTTCTTCCTTGGCACTACAGCCCCAGTGGGCCTAGGCCTACCTCCATGAACTTCGTTCACTTTGGTTTTTCTAGATCTTACACATATGGTAGGACTCCTTGGGCGAGTGATCAGCTCGTGTCTACCACTATGCTAACACTACTGCCCTGCACGGTATGTCACAATTTCATATCAAAATTAAAAATTAAAAATAGATCAGCCCTAATTAATTTTAGTTAAAACCAGTTAATCCTGTATTGTCTACTTATCCGAACAACTTGTTGGCACAAACCTTTCATGAGGCATGGGTGTGTTCATGTTATTGTGTGGTTCTTGGATGTAGGTGTGGTTTTGTTTTCTCTTATATGTGCCCTTTTGGCTGTAGATTAATATCAGCATACACACACACACTACTCAACAATGCAACTACACAGGCCAGGTGATGTACCTACAGTCAAAGGGGCACATATAAGAGAAAACACCACCAAACCTACATCCAAGAACTACACAATAACACAAACACACCCATGCAGGAAAGGTTGCGCAAACAAGTCATTTGGACAAGTAGGTGATACCCCCAAGAAGAATGAGATTAACTGATTTTAACTACAATTAACTGTGAGCTGGGATAGTGTAGTCGGTATAGTGACTGGTTATGGGCTGGACGACTGAGGGGTCGAAGTTCAAGTCCTGGTAGGGTCAAAAATTTTCTCTTCCCCAACACTGTCCAGACTGGTTCTGAGGACCACCCAGCCTCCTACCAGGGGCTCTAACTACTACCGAGGTCAAGAAAGTTAAGCACAGGGACAACTTTACCTTAACTAAAATTAATTAGGGTTGACCTATTTTAATTTTGATAAAAAATTGTAAGATACTGTACAGTGCAGCAGTTTTAGCATAGTGGCAGATACCTGATGATGGACATGTACAGCATCAGTGACATATATTATATGAAATAAACCAAATGAAATAAATCTATTTCTAAACATAATTAGTTACGTTCTACACACTGTACATAGTATGTCATTCAAATCCACAGAGCTGTTCATTTTCCCAACTTCTCTTTTCAAAACAACTGGTTTTGCACCACTCAACATATGCTCCATGAAAATGTGACCCAAAACAAAACATGTACATGTATATACATAAACAGTCAGTACAACACCACATACAGTATTTTGGAAACCACAGATGCTTTAGAGCAACTGTCACATAGGGCAGTTTAATTTACTACAAAACAGTCATATGGATGATTATGTATCATTCATAACTTCCTCGTACACTTTTGTATGAATATGGCTCGATACTGATGTTATTGGGTCTGCCTTGTATTCATCATTTGCCAAAAGTTTTTTAAACAGAGCAATGTCCTGCAACCTGAAAAGACACAATACTTTACTAACAACACACAAAATAAATTAAAATCATATTGTCGTCTTCTGGGTTATGGCACTCTGTTATAGCCTGGTTGATGATTCTTCTATAACAAACATGATGGCAGTTCATTTTTCTGAACCACTGGTACCCACCTACACAACTACAACATGGTGGCGCAACAGTGAAGACCATAATATGAATGTCCTCCACAGTAATCACCTCAAATCATGTATAAGTTATAAGTGGTCAATCTATAATTTTTTCATCCACTTGCTTTTAAAGTTTGAAAAAGTTACATAAACACAGAGATCACTCACAAATATATACAGAATGTCACAGACATTAGTACAGTAAGTCTGAGGGTGGTGTTATGCCCCAAAACAATAAGTTTGCCATGCCCTCTTTCTGCTGACCGAATTTAACGTCAAAATGAAAGTACGTAGTTTTTAAAACAGATGTCCAGTAATTCCATTATGTCTTCAACATGTAAAGGTGATTGTTCTGGGAAAGCAGAATCCATACTGAGTCTATTTCTTCTGGCCTGTAAGACTTCTTCCACTGGTATGTTGATGAATACATTAACAACAGTAAAACTTACAAGTAGTCTTTGTTTGACAGCTGATATCCCATATTAATTTTATGAAGTGTTCTGAGTGCTTCACAAAGGATTCTGTACTGACAACTAGATGGCTCAGCTCATGGAGAAAATCTGCTAAGGCGTAACAGGGAGAGTCAACAGAGCTAACATTTGTTCAAGGGGGATGTCAGGTTTGTGTGTCCTTGGAAGTCCATGGAGGTGAGGTAGTTTACTGTAGTAAGGAGTCAGTTTACGTTTTAAGGCAGTGGGAAGGATAGTTTTGTGTCTGGTAAGAAGTTTCCATATCTTCCTCTCAATTTGAGATGTGAGATCCAGCCACATAATTTCATAAACCCTCGATTCTAGTGCAATGAATATCTTCTCCTTGTATGAGGACTCCTTAAATACTACTATGCAGTTTCCTTTGTCAACTTGTAGAATTCTTATTTCCTATCTTTTAGAGATTTCAATATTATAGATTTCCTCCTAGACATCTTAGATGTCAAAGGTCTTGATTTTTTCAACATACATCGAATCACCCCACAGAACTCCGTGCCCAAGGCGAGAGGCAGTCTGGACCTTGCAGGATCCGCTTCATATGCCATATCCAAATTGGACATTCTATTTGTTACTGCAAAATTAAGCCCCCTCTTAAGCATGTATTCTTCCGATTCTGTGAGAACATGCTCTGATAAATTGAGGGCAAATTTCTCAGACCCCTGAATAGCTTTTCAGGTCACAGTCGTCTTTCAGAGCTAAGAATTTTCAAATCTGAATCTCCTTCTGCTTAAGACAATGATGTTTGAAGGAGCTTTCCACTGCTGCCACGATGCAGAGTTGATCTGATTGTTTTGTTGATCTCTGGCAAAAAGTTTCCAGATCACTGATTTGTTTGTTCAGTGTGGCCTTTTCAAACAGTGGAACTGGATCCTACCTCTTAGCATGGCCTTGCTGGGTCATAAAGTTATCTTATAAGAATGATGACTGTGGTATGGAGCTTTCAGTATAAGGCCTTTGGGAATAACATCACAAGCCTTCCATTTCATGAGAAAATTGAGATGACTGGAAGTCTTAGCCAGCTGAATCTTAACTTGTTCAAATGTTGGTACCATAGAGAGTATTTATCTCTCAAGTGATGCCTTCTATTCTGCTACTACTCTGGTGCTAGGCCTCATACATATGGAATTTCTTAATATTTTAATGTTCTGTCTTAACTCCTGAAGATGATTGGTGCTATCTTGGTTTATCTACACTATCTTGTGTTGGTGCAGGCATCCAGAGATAGGGACTAGCTCTACTGATTGGGTCCAACTGTGTAGGTTTTACCTGAAGATGAAGACAGAATCCAAACTCCGAAATACTGCATTTTAAATAACAACAGGATGATGGATAATGTCCAGGAACATATTTGTACTAATTAACATGGTGGACTTAACTTACTAAAGAAAATAAGAATGTGTTAGTAAGAAATTCCAATGTCCCTATAAAGAAACGATTTGAACAATATGTTAATGAAAATTTTAAATATAGATAATTTAAGCAGGACTAATAAACTGAAAATTAAATTAAAAAATGGGAGATCTGAGGTTCTCATGGCGGTGACTATGATGTTACTATCTTCTGTGATATGATACAATGCAGTTTGTTAGATCATTACTAACATTTTGAAGGAACCTGCCATCTTCATTTTCAAAGCAAAAGATTCATCTTCACCCATCTATCATGAAGATGGAGGCAGCAGGTTTCTCCAAGAGGTAGGTAACCATCTACCAGACTACATGGCACCATATCCATGTAAATAGTCATCTCATATTAGCAAAAATCATAAGCTGAGGAAAATAACATGAATTTCTGAAATATCTCCAAATGCATAAGGTACCAGAAACACAAAACAGTTTTATCATACAACAATCCCTCATGTCATGTTGTAAAACACCACAGTTGACAAAACCAAGTGTTACAAAAAATTGTGGGCTATGGGAACCATGGCCAATGTTAATACTCATCAGAGTATTAAATTTCCCGTTCCTTCATAAAGTGGAAAAAAAAAATATATATATATATATATGTAATGACACATAAGATCTAAAAGTTTGTGACGATGTTAAATTGCTACAAGTACTATGTTTTTGGACATTATCCATTGTCTTGTCTATTTAAAAAACAAGAGAAGGATGGTTTTTTAAAAAGTAGACAAGGTGATGGATAATGTCCAAAAACATAGTACTTGTATGTAATAATACATTGAAAATTAAATCAGGCATAAAACATACAAAATGTCATGAAAACATGCACCACATTGGTCATCTGAAAGCTAGAAAATTAATTTCAGATGTCATTACAGCACCAAGTAAATGTGGATGTCTTGGTGTAGTAGACAGTTACTTTTTTTCTGTGTGTACACAGATTAGTTACTGCAGCAGCACAACTGGATGCAAATGTAAACCTCAAATACTTCAAATCCACAGTTGGTATGAGACTGCTTTATAGAACAAAAAACTGTAACTGGGGAAGAACAAATATATATCTGATGTTTACTTCTTAATGATTCAACTTACATGACATTATTCCTGCGTTTTGCTTTAGGAATACTCCTCTGCTTTATAACAGGCTTCTTCTTGGAGCTGGAACTCTTCTGAGCAAGTTCAATGTTTAAATTAAGTGGTGGTAGTTTATCTGATAAATTAAGCAATGGAAATTTGTCTGACTGTGGTTGGGCCTCTGTTTTAAGTGGACTCGTTTTCAACCTTCTCTGTTTCTTTGAATCTTTTCTCACATGATATGCTGTCTCCAGTTCTGTAAAATCATGGCAAATGTCATTCAGTGGAACACAATATGCGTGATACTATATGCAGAGAAGCATGTAACAGATTACTTATTCAAATTGCATAGTATAAAGTCTTCCATCAGCAGCCAACAACATTTAGTTGATTACAAATTTCATGTTATAGAACCTTAAGGATAATCACATTTACAACAGCCTCTCCAGTTCACATCTTCACAATATTTTAATATCAGCCACCCATTTAAATCTAGGTCTCACAAGCTGTTTCCTTTCATGAGATTCTCAACCAAACTATGTATGCAATTCTTGGTCCTCATGCATGCAAGTCTGTTTTTCTTCATCTCTTTTCCATTACCCTTTATCAGCCATGCACTGTACTTCTGCAAGGGTATGCTCAGTCCAGCTGACCAAGAACCATTATATTAAACACTTTGAATATGAAGTTATTGAACAGGAGCTCATTTTGGAGAATGAAGCAATTATCACCTGACAGTAAATGTGTGTTGATGAAGACACTACAGTAAAAGGCGGGGAGGGTCTTGAGAATATGAGCGACTGTTAGCTTCTCACTGAGGACTGTGCCCATGGAGTTAGTTAGTTAGTTAGTTAGTTATTGGAGAGGGTGGGTTTCCCCATGCACTGAGACCTGTATTGGTCCATTGTGCTTCCCTCTATGATATCTACCAGTCTCTATATCCTACCGGTATTGGTGCTTACCATCAGTCCCGCCCAGCCAGCGAGACCGGCTCTACTAGCTGAGAGGTATCTATAATGCTTCCCCCATCTACCAGAGGTATTAGAGACTGCCGTTGGGCGGGAAATGTCCTTGAATTTAGCTCAGTGACCTCCTTTGGAGATGAGGTTCTTTTGCGTGCCGTAAAGCTACGACACAGGACCCACAGCTTAAAAGTCCCTCCCGGAGGACTTGTTCCCTGAATTTTTCCGCCCTTAAAAATTCCACGACCTCTGCTGGGTTTGAACCCGCGTACCACGAGTCATGAGGTGGGAACGTTACCTCTAGACTACGGAGGCCGCTAATGTTATGTATTACTTATGAATTTCTTCTGCTACACATCAGCATGAATCCGTCTTCTGTGACACACAGGTGCACTACACAAAACAATTACAAACCACTATATTTCAGCATGCATTACTCACTTGCTATATAGGCTAATCATGTAACAAACCAACACTTAACATCTTACTTTTTATGAATGCTTCATGGCGAAGTTTCCTTTTTTCTTTCTTTGATATAACATTTCCTGCAGAAAGTGACTTCTTGGATATTACACTTCTGCTATCAGAATCTTTCAACGACTGTTTCAGATTATCAATAGATATATTAATCCCAGCAAAGAGATTTTCTGGCACAGGTAAAAGAATGGAAGATTCTTGTAATGGTTTTTCATTTGATTCACAACTCTCAGTACCAGTAGCCGCTGCATCATTAGTTGACTTCATTCTTGACAGGTGATACTTCTGCCTCTCTCTTCTCTGCTTCCCCATTCTCTGTAAAACAATTTCATGTTACCAGCAAGTCAGTTTACAATCAATCCAACTTATACTATAAATGCATCAAACAACTATCCCAACTGAAACTTATGGCTAATCTATATTTCATTTCAGTAATGCAGTGCCAGTCCATTTAAATGTACAGTGGTTAGGAAAATAGTGGAAAAACTACAGATACTGTACACATTTCTTTATTAATATGGTGTTGACCAACTTTTACCCTCAATATAGGCGTTAATCATTCTTGGAATTGACTCATACTGGTTTTGAACAGTCTCTAGTGGAATTTTCTCTGCATCATGGGATGCACCTATTACCCAACCTGGCCATGTACTCCACTGCAGTAATTCAGCAAGGAAGACTAATAATGGGATAAGACTAATACTGTACTACTATACTGCTGCCCAAACCATCACAAAGCCTCCCCCATGTTTTACTGTTGAAACCAGACCAGGCACTCTGCATTATAGGCTTCCTTGGGTGTTCTCCAATCATAAACCCTGACTCAGCCGATAATATCACATGCGCATTTCCAGTTGTCTGATATCCAGGTTTTATTGTTGTGGCATCATCGTTTACGCATCTGAGCATTGTCTTCCCATGATTCGTGTATGCTGACATAACCATAGAAACTGTTGCTCTCAATACACCTAATAATATGGCAGTTTTCATCATAGATGCTCCAGCTAAACATGCACCAATGATCTGTCCACGAATGTAGGTACTGACATGGAACATAACCATGGGCAAAAAATGGGACGCTTCGAATGTCATCATCCGAACCACCCATGTGACTTCTTTCCATAACCCAACTACAGTTATTTATACAACACTGAAGATAATGTTTCATAAATGCTGAAGCAGTCTACAAAATGACACAAAAGAATACACCTTGAGTAACAGATTTACATTATAAAACATGTCAAAGCGTATTACAAGATTCTAGTTGTTATGATAAGAAGTACTGGAAATATGTATCAATTTAAAATATGTGCCACATTATAATGGGACTTAAACACATAAAGCCATATATTATTCCAACTTCACAACTCTGACATTAATTTATAAATGTTATAACCTTCAACTGCACCAACCACCAGAAAGGATGTCACTCAGCAAGTCCTGAATTTTAATACAATAATGTACTTCACTATACAATATACAGCCAGTATTCAATTAAAATATTCACTACAGGTTGTAGCAAATTACACTATACACATAAGTTCCTTAGGAGATTGGAGGTTCTCACAGTTATCAGTACAGAGCGTCTAGAGCGCTGGCTGACTGGACATTGATTTTACCGCTGGCTACATCCTGTGAAAGCAGTGCGCCTCTTGCCAAGAAAAATGCTGCCTCGCGACCAGAACTGCTAGCACACACTGTTTGCCTCTTTCGTTAATTATTAAACAACTGTAACCGCACCATGCAGGAACCTCAGCAATGTTGTCGATTTACATTCTTAATTACAATGTACTACATGTAAATGAACTGTACTACTGTTAACAAAAGATGATACAGAATTGACCCCAGCACCAGCAGACGCCAAGGACGACATCTGGTCTTTCTGAGGGACAAGCAAGCTGCAGGTCACTTGAAAACCCAGAACGGAGCAGGAAGTATCCCACTGTGTTTTCTGGGAATTTCAATGCTTAACTTTGATGGTGCGAGTCTTTGAAAATTTGAGACTTGACAGATACGAGTCGCAATAATTTTTGGAGGGGCATACCGAGCGATCGTTAGCGTACCTTCATTTATTTGAGAGCTGTCAGAAGGACCGTGTTGTACTTAGGCCCAAATTAACATGGATCTTGTTAGGGATTGGCGGAATGTCAATGAAAGTAACACCCAAATTTTTGGTTTAGCCAATCAGCAAAATTTCAGAGGAGAGGAAACCAGGCGTTCCTGGAACCGTAGGGACTTCTGCCTCGCCAGAGGAGTCAGTTATTAGAAGGGAATAACAGGGGTCAGTCACCAACAGTGAGTAACAGGAGTGAGTAGCAAAAAGGGAGTAACAGGAGTAACCTCCCGGATGTTAAATCAGTGTTGGCCCGAATCCAGTGTACAAATTCAAAGTGCTACAGCCTGGTAATGTGTAATTGTAGTGCACATCTACAATAAAGAGCAACAGTGTTGGTGAAGTGTGTGTTTTCAGTGTTCTCTCTCTCTCCTTGTGTTAGCAAGGCCCAGAAGTCGCCCTGAGACAGAATCTCGTCCTACCGTCTGAGCAGTCGGAACCCCAAACGTCCGCCTATCCATATCCCCACCTTTGTTTTCCCTGTTCCAAACTCGTGGATTTCACCCAAGTCCACTGGCGCCCATACAAATTCAAATTCAGGGTAATCACACACCCTACACACCCTGAACCAGACAGCAACAAGGAAGCGGCGGATGAAAGCGGAGACCACAAAAGGGCGAACGCGACGGCGAGTTGTAAGTGACGCCGAACGTGTAGGCGAACGTGAGGGCGGTAAAACAACTATAGTAATTAATACTGTATTCACCATCACAGAAGAAGTTCAGAATGTCTGCCCTCTGCTGTGAGACATGTCTGAATTCTTTTATACAGACTTTGGGAAACTTGTTGCAATTCATGTTGCTGAACGTTATAAATTTCTTCACGAATATGAGGCCTACTGATGCAGATTAAGAGTAGTGCGAAACATAAACCTACCATCATTTCAGAGATCTTCGTTAACTCCTTGCTAACTTACCTAGGTGAATGACGACTTGACAGCTATAAATTCGACAAATTAATTGCCTCAGCCAATTATAGTTTTATGTTAAATTATATTACGAAATATTCATTCCATTCATTCGCTGCCATCAGATTAATGGCGTTCGAAGATCAAATGAATAACAGCAAATAATTCTGAAAGTATCAGAAACACACAATCTACCGTGACCGGTCGGCTCTTCTATTAACTGCAGCAAACACTTTGCCAGTTATAGGTTACAAACTGGCACACGCCACAATTTCTAAAACACGTCTAAGCCAACGAAAGAACCGCTGCTACCACTGACACTACTAATTCCATTGATCACAAACTTGGCTATCTTTGGGATTGAGCAGCTTCAGAGAGTTCAATTCGAGCTACCGTACGTAGCGTCCGGCAGTGACGAGCTGAACGTCGAACCGTGGTCGAATTAAGTGACCCATGGTGCTGCCGTTGTGAATGTTGTGAGCACTGTTCAAGCGGTAGATGGCCGAATGAGTGCATAGCTAAAAGATTAGGAGCACAGAAATGAATTAAGGGTTAAGTTTAAGAGAACACCTCAATTATAATTCTCTTATTTCTTGACGTTAACGACGTTTAGTGCTGAAGCTGTTAACATTTCTGCTATCATTCCCAGGTTTGCAGAACAGTCTTTCATGTCAGGGAAATATGACGTATAAATATTGGTGTCATTGGAATTTAATATTTCGATATATTAAAGTAATCAGTATGGTTACTAATTTCACGTAAAATGGAAGTGTAAAATGGTAAGTTTTTCAGTTTTTTGATGTGTTTGTGTGCGAATGAGGAATTTTAAACCTGGTAATATTTGTTACTCATGGAAGAACATCGTAAGCTATCAAAGGTTTGGGAACATATGAGAGTGTTGCGTGCAATTCAGTATCTGTCGCTGATTACGGTAATTTTGTGTTTTCCTTGATAATGAATATTAAATTTTGTTTGTCTTTTCTGTATATTGAGTGCTTCCTGAGTCTGTATAGTGTAGTGAAAACTACATACAAAGTGATTGTGTAAAATGCTAACTGTTGAAAACGAACATGGAAAAGAACCCTAGCAAAAGTGACGAACTTGTACCCAGGACCGAAGATCGTAAAATGTCTAGAATGTGTTTGTTGAACTCGGAAATGGCAAAGTCTTCTTGTACAGTTGACGATCTTGTATCCAAAGTCGTTGCTGGTTCTAGTGACGTTTGTGATGATGTAGTAAAAGAAGAATATGAAATCTGTGATACAAATGGCTTTTCAAACACTGTGTTGTGTGGTGAAGAAGTTAATAATATGATGCCTTTGGAATGTGTGAAGGTTGAACTAACAGAAGAGAACAGTGAAACATATATTCAGAAAACTGCAGGCAGACAGGAGGAGCTTTCTTACAAGGACGGAAAATCATGTACTTCGGAAAGGAAGAGCAGTTCTATCACTTCTGGTGAAAAAGCTTCAAATATTGCAAATCAGGCCTCTTCGGAATCTGTTGAGGGCAGTACTGGAAGTAAGGTTAAAGTACAAGTAAATTCCAGCAGAGAGAAACGGAAAGTCACTGAAAACAAAGACAGCTCTGGCAATAGGTAAGAGCAAGTATTGTATAAATTATTTTTGTTTAAGAAGAATGCCGTCTTCTGGGATGTGGCGCCGTGTAGATCTAGTGTAAACTGACGTTTCAGAGGAACGTATCGCTGCAGCCACCTGCTCACGCTGTTTCCTCACTCGTGGATTTTTCTACCCTGAAGATGGAGGCGATACGTTCCTCCGAGACATCGGTTTACATTATAAATAGACGGCGCCACATCCCAGAAGACGGCATTCTTCATAGTCACTGTCGTGGCAACCTCAGATCATAAATTTATGTTTAGTTTGGTGTAAGCAAGTGGATAAAGTTGAGTCCAAGTACAGCCCCTTCCTCCTACTTACGATGGTAAATCAGAATAGGAGCTCAGTGTTCGGTTATAACTGGTTTTGTTATGTGTTTGTGTATAAAACCAAGTCATTCACAGGATGAAATAACTGTTATCAAGACCTTGGAAAGAAGTCCTATGGATTGACCCTTTCACATCTTCCTTCAGCTGTCTTTTAATGCATTTAACAGTTCTGTTATCAGGAATGTTGGTAGTGATAATCACATGATAATCTTTGCTTATGATGAACAATTCGGGCAGGAAGGGAATAGAACAGTAGCTAGAAAGGGCAAAGCCTTAAGCACTGTCATCCCCAAAATCATAATACAGATTTGGTTAGAATGTGTACCACTGCCTCATGTGGTATGGCTGAATACCAGTCTCTCAGCAAGGTGGCAGAAAACACTGATCCACACTTTCCTGCCATTTAAAATATTTATCTGACTACCGTATTTAAAAAATTTGTGACTGTGTGTAGGATAGCCTTGGTACTGTGACTTGCAAGTTTATCATTATTTTGTTACATGCTTGTTCTGGCCTTCATTGCCACAAAAAATTAGTTTTTTCTTGTTTTTTTTCATACTGTATTCTTAAACACACACAGGCCAGCCATCAAATAATGGAGAAAGTATCAAATTTAGTAAAGGAGCTAATAGTAAGGACTTGCTGATTATGTTGATCTTAACTTCTTTGGACATGGTTTGCCATTTTCCCTGTGCCATATTATTATTATTATTAGAGGGGGTGGGTTTCCCCATGCACTTAGACCAGTTATTGATCCATTGTGCATCCCCCTTTAATTTCTACTGTAGCCATACCCTACCAGTACTGGTGCGTGTTATCAGCCCCGTTTGGCCAACAAGGTTGGCCCTCGGTACCTGATATTTCCCCCATCTACCAGAGGCATTGGAAACTACTTGGGCAGGAAATGTGTTGCCTAATTTTGCTCAAAGGTCTCCTAGAGACATGAGGATCTTTTACGTGCCATAAATCTATGACACGGGACCCACGGCTTAGAAGTCCCTCCCGGAGGACTTGTTCCCTGAATTTTTTCGCCCTTAAAAATTCCACGACCTCCGCCGGGTTTGAACCTGCATACCTTGAGTCATGAGGTGGGAACATTACCCCTAGACTACGGAGGCCACTTCCCTGTTCCATAAGTGATTGAGTGAGAATGCTAGAAGCCCAAGAACTTACTGTCGAATGATGGATGGGAAATTAATCTCCAGCCACAATTTTTCAATTGTCAGTGACAGCCAAGCAACCATACTTTTCAGCCTGTAATCGCAAACCTGTCATATTTCACAACTCTTTTTCATTTGAAAAGTTTGTATAATATTAAGTGGGATGCTGTACATAGGAAATTGCTCAAAAACATGTTTTACTTCCTTATAGAAGCTGGCAATATCATGAGTTTTCTCTTCTGTCGCAGCATGAACATTCAGAACAATAATATCACACATCTTATTATTAACAAATTCTGCCCCTGTAGATATGATTCTCTTATTTTTTAAAAAATCATGTACCTAATTCATGATTATCGTACCCATATCCTTGAAAAAATGTATAATTGGCTGCTGGTTCAGTGTCACTCCAGTCCCATCTGACCTACTGTACTCCACAAAATCTGACTTATACTTTGCTGTTTCTTCTGCAGCTATTGTCAGTGAACCTGCTCTATAGAGACTCCTTACATTATTTGTGTCAAATCCTGTCCATTTCCCTTTGCTTGGGTCATTCCAGAGAATCTGTCCAAGCCCAAGGCATCATGTAACATTCTTAACATACTGTTTTATTTTTTTATGGTAAGGGTTTGTTAGCCCCTTGCTCAATCCCCAAGCTGGAGGACCAGCCCCTGTTGGATGTCTGTGACCATATTCAGTATATTTGCAGCTACCCTTCATATTTGAAGGTGATCACCTTCATCTGTAACCTGAGAATGCACCATGCCATGGTGACAAGGGAACCACTTAATGACAGCCTGCCCCACAGAAATAGTTTTATGAATGTTATAAAAATGATGTGTGTAAATACAAGAACCTAGATAGTGTGACGTGGATGGCATAGCGGGAGGTGGGGGTTGCGTGAACTCTGTGATCTCGTGAGTGACGTCACATACCCCCACTCCATCCATCAGTGTGCAATGCTCGGTAGACACCCCTTTCCCCGCGGTGACAACACGGGATGCCACAGTTGCTACGTAGCCATAAACAACTCCCAGCAGTGCTGCCCAGCAACGCCTTTGTAAACACGACGGGGAGTCCGTGCAACAACTGTTCCTAGGCAGTTGGTAAATACGACGTTATGCAACAGTGGTGCCTATTACATGACTGTTTTCTGTGTTGTCTGTAACGGGGCTAAATAAGGAGCAGTGAACACTATTCAAGAGTTAGTTACAAGTTAGCCAGGGGGTGAGTAGTCAGTCAGTTAGTTACAAGTTAGCCAGGGAATCAGTCACCCAGTCAGTTGTAGTCTAGCATTTGCAGGCCAAGTAATTGTAATACTGCAGATAGCAGTAGTTGTGAAACTGTAAATGGTGTGATTGTAAGAGCGAGTGTGAAATAAAATTCGCTATATCAACTACGGCGTGAAGTTATTTGTCACATTATACACCCAACACGTGACAATATGTTACTTGCAAATAGCCACCATAAGCAACAGAATTAGTTTATTGAACTGCAGTGTAGATATTTTTCCGCACATGCATACTACAGCAGAGGAGTGAAAGAATTATCGTGGATAGAGGGAGTTACAGTCACCTACATCCTTGCCCGACCTACATTAAGGAAGAAAGATGGACAGAAGTCTGTGTTGATTGTTTTGCTGACTCATTAATGATTCTGTACAAATGTCAACTTACAAGTCTGCACATGTATAGGACATAGTATGCAGGATGTCTGTGGAAGAATGTCCTCATTTTAAAAGTTATTATTGCGAAAATCAATACAGATACATGAGTGCAGTTTTCTCTGTATGAAAGAGAAAGTGAAAGTTTATTTATGCTATGTGTTGTACCAAGTTCATATGCACCAAAACTGAGCGACAGTGGAGGGATAGCAGCTACAAGTCAGCAGTTCTCTGAGAATGTCATCAAACCAACAGAAGGCTGCATGTGTGTGTGGTGGAACTTTCTGTGAGCGTTTGTAACTGATTTTGCTTCTGCCATTCACCATACACAGCCTTCTCTTGCTTTGACACCATTCTCAGAGAAACTGCAAACTGTCTTCCATGATCCCTCTGATGTCACTTGGTCAGGTATGTGCACTCGAGGTATATAACATAAATAAAGCTTTTGGAGTTTATCTCCAATATGGTGATAACTTCATCCTCTTTACTTCATTCATTTTCAAAGTAAGCATCTTTATAATGTGCTCATTCTTCCTTTGACACCTGTATTTTTCACTTCATTAACTTTTTTTTTTTTTTGGTTTTGATTAAATTTGTAATGAGGTATGATTTTTCACAGGGTTGTCCCAATTTTTTTTAGACCCAAAATGAACTTTTGCACATAACCAATTAAATATAATCAAATTAAAAGAGACGTTTCAGACAGCAGTTATAAATATTGAGATATATGTTCTGTGTACATTTTGTTAGTAAATGAGTTGTTTATGAGATATCTGCAGAATTCTGTGTTTTTGCACGCCTGTTTATATTCTCATTTTTTCTAATGTCTTTCACCACAGAAAGTTTCATGTTCCTGCGTTGTATAGTGCTAATGTTACTGTCAAAGTTGGAAGATTTTTTATGGCCAGTACTGTGGTAATCAAAGAATTTGCATAGTGGGGGGTGGAGTCCATTTGGGTCCACTCAGCACAGCAGCCACTGATTGGCCTATTGTACCTGCCCCTGGTGATTATAATGATGGAGAATTTGGAGGAATGAAGATTGGCAGGGGAAACCAAAGTACTCGGAGAAAACCTATCCCAGCGCCACTTTGTCCACCACAAATCCCACTTTACCAGACCCAGGTTTGAACCTGGGCTGCCGCGATGGGAAGCCAGCACCTAACTGCTTGAGCTATGGTGCAGCCTTAGTCAAAGAATGGAGAAATGTGTTTGGCATTAACATTAACCAGGTTTCATGGAGAGTAGCTTAAAGGTTTAAAAACTATATGAGAGGAACCACCAACAGAAGGAAGTCATATATATTAAAGAAAGTACATAGCAGTTCTGGTTTCTGATAGGATATAGACTGGCCTATAATTGTTATCTTGATTGAAATTATAGATATATGTTGAAACGTATCTGGTATTGTCAAGTACTGTATTTATGAGTGTTGTTCAAATGAAACCTGTTAATATGTTTGGTCAGATGAATACATTATGGTTATGATGGCACAATGGTTCCAGCAGCAGAGCTGGAAGTTCTTTGTGGAAGGGATCTATCAGCTGGTGTGTCACCAGAATGCTTGTCTCAGTGCCCATGGGGACTGCTTTTAACACCCTCTACCCCTTTGCCCAGAATAGTCTCCAAATGGGTTACATTCGAACAATCCTCATATGTTACAGTATTAATGTGATGCTATAAATAATGGGATTACTTCTGTCCTTACAGCTCAGAGGACAGCCAAAAAGCATCTGATACAGAAGACATTCGACTGTCAGAAAGGATTCGGAAACTAAAATCTAAAATTTCTGACAGAAGAGAAAAGAGAGGCATAAATAGGTCAGGTGTTTCAAAACGGAAGGCAGAGACAGTGGAACGAAAGAGCACTGCAGAACTTGCATCCCTATTATTCCAGGCACCAAAGAGAGGGAGGGCAACACAGCCAGAGGAGGGACCTCCTACATGCTCAATTTGCAACAGGACATTTTCAAATAAAACCCACCTGTATTCTCACGTCAAGCTTCATGATGGTTTGAAGCCACATACATGTGAGACGTGTTCGAAGGCTTTTGCACGGAAAGGAGATTTGGCCATACATATGAGGCGTCATACAGGTGAGCGACCATACGAGTGCCCTCAGTGCAAGAAAACTTTTGTGGAAAAGTCTCATCTCTTGCGACACACACGTAGCCACACAGGTGACAAGCGTCATGTGTGTCCTGTATGTGGAAGCGCCTTCTCAGAGCGAGCAGGCTTAGCAAAACATTTACGCTCCCACACCGGAGAACGTCCACATTTGTGCTCTGTGTGTGGTAAGTCATTCGCTCAGCGTGAATTTTTGATTAGACATGCACGCATCCACACGGGTGAGAGACCGTTCACTTGTGACTTATGTGGAAAATCATTCTCAGATCGTTCTACTGCTGTGAAACATGCTAGACTGCACACTGGCCTTAGACCATTTCCTTGTCCGCTATGTGGTCGCTGTTTTTCACAGAAACAACATTTGACAGGCCATCTGAAGACACATGCTGGTGAACGTCCCCATGGTTGTGAGGTATGTGGTAAGAAATTCGGTCGGAAGAGTGACTTAGTAGTGCACACACGACGTCATACTGGAGAACGTCCCCACAAATGTGAGGCATGTGGCAAGACTTTCCTGGACCGCTCACATCTTGTACGGCATAACAAAGTACACAGCGGTGCCAAGCCCCACGTGTGCCATGTGTGTGGGCGGTGTTTTGCAGAGAAGGGTCACTTGGATGGACACCTGCGAGTCCACACTGGGGAGAAACCCTACTCATGTGATGTATGTTCCCGCAGCTTTGCTGATCGGGGCACCCTCGTGAACCACATGCGTGTTCACACTGGAGAGCGGCCCTTTGGCTGTCCCATCTGTAGTAAGGCATTTGCGCAGAAAGGCTCACTGCTCAAACATGTCCGCATACACTCAGGAGAGAGGCCCTATTCATGCTCTGTGTGTGGGAAACGGTTTGCAGACAAAGGTTACTTTGTTAAGCACTCTCGACTCCACACTGGTGAAAATTTGCACACATGTGCTCTGTGTGGCAAATTCTTTGCACAGAAGTGTCATCTTATCAGACATGCCAAGGTTCATGGTGTTCAGCCTGAAAGTGTAATGATGCCAGTTGTTACTATATAAGCTTCTTGGTTTGTGTGGAAATAACAGCATTCCAAATGTCACTCTGTACTACCTACTGCTGATATGTCTCCTTTATTTAACTCTGTGTTCTTAAGCTTTTAATCTATTCATATGAATGATTTCGGTTTGTCTGATACTGTGGAACAGTGATAGGAGGAGGTATGATTTATAATGAGAAGTCTGTTATACCAAGTAAAAAAGCATCAGCACTTCTAATTTCTTAAGGTTACATATGTGGAAATACTATGGGGCCATTTTTCCAGAACTCATGGTAATGAGTGATTCCTAGGCAGCTGCCACTTCCTTTCTGCATCTTTTTGCACAAAATATATTTGCAGGAGTAAATAAAGTTATTGTTAAATGTTGCCCAGTACCTCTCCCTTGTTTGGAAGAGGAAATTCTGCATTCCAGAATCTGAGAACTGTATGTCTGAATAGAAAATTTATGCAATCTTGAGGCAAAGTGCTCAGCATGCATGCACAGAGTCATTCTAATTCATGATTTAAAAACAATGGCAAATGGTTGCAAGTCCTGAGAAAATCTTTTTAACTTCTTAATTCTGATAATACTAAAGATGAGGATGTTTAATTATTCTTCATTGCTTTCATGTGTATTTGATAACCACCAGACAGCTTACGATATGTTTGCATAGTGTAACAGTTCTAACACATATGCTCTGTTATTGCCTGGAGATTACATAAATTCATTTTGTTTAATTATCTGACAAATGGATGACTTATGGGCATAAAATATTTTATTTTTCGTCCATGATATGTATGTATTGACCGTCTTCTAGTGCACACAATCTCACATGTTACAACGTGCATTACAACGAATGCAGCCAAAGAAGGAGGACACATCACAAGACACAGTATACACAAAATATAAGAAGAATGACTCCCATAGTGGAAGAATAATATAATACGCGAGTTTGAAATAAGACGTATAAGATGATAAATCTTAACAAATTTTAATATATATAAATTTTATTATAGTACATGAAGAATATACATTTTAAATCATTTTATAAACGACACATGATGGCAAGCAGTGCAGTAGTTTAACGTAAATAACACACCTGAGGATGGCACAGTGATGCCGAAACATGTAGTGAAGTGACATGTGAGATTGTATGCACTAGAAGACGGTCAATACATACATATCATGGACGAAAATCAATGCAACAGGACTTTAAAATACAATATTTTATTTTTATTTAAAACTTTTGTTCAAAATAATTTTGTGTTCATTTTCGTAACATAATGATTTTTTACGGTGAGGAGTTGTTAGCCCCACACCCAACCCCCCAACCATAAAATGCTGGGAAATTCTTGAGTAGCTGCAGAATTGGCGGCTTCTCCAGAAGGGCTCAGCTCCATGAGTAAGTAAGTAAGTTCAAAACAATTTTTGTTTGATAAATACAGTACATGCTGAATTACATGTGATGCATAACATACTCATAGAAACATGATGTAACAAAACATTCTGTCTCACATGGGCTTGTGTGGTACTCCAAACCTTCCCTTTCACTTGCTTCCACACATTCCATTCCCTGCTGTGCCAATTTAAGTTGGTCGCCTTCTTCCCTTGGTTGTTGGGCTCCAGCAGCTGCTTCCGGTGTATCAGTATACGAGGCACAGCAGCAGTGGTGACTGATGTATGGTGATGATTTACATATGTACGAGGTTTTGGAACTAGGTCAGATCAAGCTTGTAAGATCTGAGGACCACAGCAAAATGATGAAGGTGAAGTTTTGTGTTTGAAGGATCCAGACTGAGGCTGTATGAGATGGGTAACTGACTGTTTCCAGCTAAATAAATAGGACACTGCTATCTGTGAGATTCTGATAAGACTTATCAGGGAGAATCCAGTCAACATTGTTCAGTACCTGTCTTCAGGCAACAGCCCCCCTTCAAATCACACAAGCTTTCTGAGAATTTGACTTACTTTTTAAAATAATTTAGGGATTGCGTTAACTATGTGTACTCTTAAGCCACATTCTTTCATCCATCTCCACTCTTGACTCAGGAGTGCTCACCGCCTTCTTTTCTTCCTCTTTGGTGACATGTTCCTCATAGTACTATAAGGTTTTGAAGGCACAGCTGGTGTGGGAGAACACATTCCTAGCCAACTGCTATCCCACCTTTAGGGTGCACTACCAAGTTGAGGAGGGTACCCATATTAAACTAACAGAAATTTGACAAAGCCATGAATGTTTTGTTACAACATTTTGGTCTTCATGTGAGATGTCCATTGTCTTATTTTTACCAAAATGAAAATATGTTGGAAAATTTTGGTAGTACTCCCCAGTGTTATACTTCATGAAATTTTGTTTTAACAGCTCTCAAGTTGTTATGTACAAACAGGTAGATGGACAAACATGGCAAAGCTAATATGTGTATTTTGGTAGCTTATCACTGCAGGTGGGCCAAAAAGAAATATTACTTCACCTGCATTATTTTTTTAAGCCTTAGTGCCATATAGTAATGTATGTAATTAGAAGTTTGGCTAGAAGATTATGTATTTCAACAATTTTTAAGTACTACAAGTACTTGTTATAACAAGCATATCTATGAATTCCATAAATTTTCGTTATATCAAGATTTCAGTGTTATTCAGGTGATTTTTTGTGTACAGATTAACAGTTTATTGGGAGAAGTGCTATGTATGAAATAGATTAGAATTGGATTCACTCTTATGTATATTTAAAATACTTTTCTTTTGGATTTAGTTTTAAATATGAGAGACTTGGCAGCTTTGGTAGTGAGAAAGTAGTGAAATATGTGCTGAAACCATTCAGCCAGATATGCATTTTATGTTTACAGAAATCACTCCTTATCTACATTTTGTTACAGTACTACAAAATAAGAAACTTGCAGCAACATTCATAAGCCTAATTAAGGGTTGGTACATAATAACTTTCACTGAACTCTGCATATTTAGTTTTTTCTAAAGAATTACAGAAGTGTCAGTGACTACATGGAGAGAGCGTTCAGTTGTTCTGATGAGCGCATTCAGTGTTTTCAGTGTATCTGTGCCACAATTTCTCCTTCATTAGGACAACCAAATACCTCTCCCTAAGCTATGAAACTTTGTATGTCACAGCTATGTTGTGGATATCTTGGTGGACTTGGTTCCAGCTTAATGGTATAAAGGCGACAGTTCCAAATGGAGGACTGGCTAAACCTTGTATTCTCAAGATTAATAAGATTAGTGGTAAAAAAGACATAAATTGCCAGTTAAATTATATCTGCCTCTTGGTGACAGAGGTGAATATTTAGGCCAGGAGTGGCACTATTTTGCCTCCTCCTGCTCATCCTTTACCTTCTAGCATCATTTCCATCTTTAGTCAGTTCAGTGGACAGTCTCTGACCTCTTCTTTCCTACTACTGTCTTCCCTTTCCACTTTCTTCTACACTTAGTGTCTTGTGGTACATACAAATTTGAAAGATTAAAAAGTCTTCCTTCCTCCAGTATGGGTGATGTTGGACACTGACACTAAAAGGATTAATCTAGAAGCATACTTGAAGAAAACAATAAGATGATAGGAAAAAAAGATGGAGACCCATATGGGGTACAGATACTTTCCAAATGTATTCTTTGTGTTTTTACACATCTCACTGGTCTTGATATTTACCTGTTGCAGAAAGTCATAAATGCTGTTCTTAACAAAACGGATCAACACCAAAGTTATCACACTGCATACAGCCATATATTATTTTTCTCTGTATTTAATTAAATATAAACTATACTTAAAAATGTTTCAGATATATTTTCAGATTGTGATCATCTGGGTTGTGACATTGTATAGTTTTGTAGATAGGTACCAGCATTTTGAGAAATATGCTGCTCCATCTTCAGGTTCAAAATGTGGTGGCTTATATTATATGTATATGCATGATGCAAATAAAGTAGTCACTCACATCCATGGATGAGGAGACGAGGCTGTGAACAGGAATATGAGTAAAACAGTCCTTTTCAGGGCCCCAGTATTAATCTCACAGGAGGGAACTGGAATTGTTAGAAAAGAAGGTGGTCACTCAGATCCATAGGTGGAGAAGAGGAGTCAAGCCACAGTCCAGACCACTAGGAACGGCGAACAGGAAACATATGAAAACAGCCCTTTTCAGGATCCTGGTGTAAATCATCACAGGAGGGGAAGAGTAAACAGAACCTAGTCTAGGCCAATAGGTTGATTGGTATCTATGTGCAAGACTACTTGGTATAACAGTGCAGAAGACCATGACATGAAAAATCACTGCTGTAAATTGTCAAAATTTGATATACAGATGTTAGTGTGTTCTATATTTTATATCTTGTACCGATTTTTTTGTGTAGCTGTTTGAGATAAATTTGGTAAATTTGGTTTGATCATCTTTACGGTGGTGATTATAATGGACTAAAATGTATCAAAATAAAATGTATATTACAGCTTTTAGTGTAGATTTCCAGCATCAAATTTAATTCCATTTAATGGTTCTGGAGAGACTATTTTGTCAGGCATGACCTTCCATATTGTTTCCAGTGGTGAAGATATGTATTAGAATTTTTCTTAACAATCTGAGAATTCTTGAGACTTGAGCACTGTTTCTTTTTTGAAGTAACACCTTTCACATGCCATGCCACACTTTCATCAAGAACTCGGGGTCTTCCTTTTTTCCAAATAGAGTTCCTTAAATGAGCTTGAAGTATCTGCATAGTAAACACCATTCAGTTTCCTTCTGAGGTAACCAGTGCCGAAGAATAATTTATTTCGTGGAAGCGAATCTTTGTGATTTCAAACACCTAAACGCTTCCAGTGACGCATTTAAACTGCCAAAGAATTCCATTAATGATAATCTCCTGTTCTCCAGTAGTTGTTCAGCTTTATCAGTATACACATCTATGAAAGAGTGCTTCGTCTCCCACTATGAATGTCATCAACTATCCTTTTGTTTCTGTCTTTAAAACACTTCCACCATTGAAACACTGTTACCTGCCATATTGCTTCAGTTCCATACACAGTTTGTAACACTATTAACATCTCTTCACTGCTTTTCCCGAGTTTCACACAAAATTCCATCACACATCTCTGCCTTGAAACGTATGAATATCCCTCTGCTTCACCATTACAACATAGGTTTCCTACAGGAGCTTGTACAAACACATGCTGTGTGAAATGACAAGTTTTGCACTAATAGCTAAATGCACTTGAGGAAGCAACATATCTTATATACCATTTCAATCAAGGTCACTGAAGATGAGCACTGTTGTCAGTCTGAGACGTCAAACTTCCCTTGTGAAACAGTTCAGCTGTTAATATTTACAAACTAACCAACTCCTCAGCTATATTTCAGTTGCTCTTCTGTCATCTCTTTCCACAGGTTTCTTAAGTCTTGTGGTGCCTTTTTGTAAAATTCTGGCTTGCAAGTAATTTGTTTAGTACAGTGTTTCTCAGCTGCTGGGCTGGGTGCTGGCATCAATCATACTGGGCCCCCATCTTATAGAAAAAAGAATTTACCAGGCCACATTCTGACAAAGGTTGAGAACCACTGGTTTAATACTTCCCCCCTCCCCCGCACAAATAATTTTCTGAAGTTTATATATATACATTTATTTTGTGTAAACATAACAATTAAGATGGCTGAAAAGTAGACCTCAATTATTATCTTCATACCCATTGAAATATCATAATTGTAAAAAAGGTAAAAGGTAAAGCTATCCCTATAACAGGCTATGGAGGCCCATAGGATTGTGAGATGTCAAGGCTCCCACCCTTTATCCCCCAGGAAGATGGAAGATTCCTGATACTAATTTCTGTTAGAGGCTGAATCGACCCCAGGGTCATAGTGTGGCTGGAAGGATTAGGTCAATTGAAAAAAATCCACCTC